ATCCAAGTGGAGAGCAAACACCTTCTGAATCGCGGCGAAGCTGGGTGTGTGCTGAGCAGGGGCGGGTGGGAGGAAGGAGGAAGGAAGCAGCGGGCTAGCCGACCTTTACCGCCGCCAACCCAATCCCGAAAGAGTCCTGAAGGAATGTGTCTGCATCTGAAGTTCGTCGCCCTGGCGGTGGGGCTTGGGTAGAGGGGTCTGCGCGGAACCAGCCCTTCCAAATCTCTCCGAGCCGCGCGCATCCTCGTCTGAGCGCGCGGGACAGCATCATCTCATTTAATTTCTTTTTCAACCCAAGAAATTAGTTTTCACATTTGTTGTTGTTGTTGTTGTTGTGAATCCTCACCTGAGGATATTTTTCCATTGTTTTTTAGAGAAAGTAGAAAGGAGGGGGAGATTCAGAGAGAAACACTGATGGTGAGAGAGACACATGGATTGGTTGCCTCTTGCATGCAACCCGACCAGGGCCAAGGATTAAGCCTGCAACCAGTATGTCCCCTTGACTGGAATTGGCCTCTCAGCCTGAATTCTCCATGAAGTGCTCCATGAAACAATTCCATTTCCTTTCCTGCTTGCAATCTTCTTCTGTGTGAACACTGGTGAATAGGAGCCTTCCCAGATGTTAAGAGGAATTTGAGAACTGAGGAGAGTCCTATGTTCAGGTTTTTAAAGTGTTAAGCAAACCTTTAACATGTTAATATGCAGAGACTATCTAAAGCAGGGATGGGCAAACTTTTTGACTCGAGGGCCACAGTGGGTTCTTAAACTGGACCGGAGGGCCGGAACAAAAGCATGGATGGAGTGTTTGTGTGAATAATATATATTCAAAGTCAACATCATTACATAAAAGGGTACGGTCTTTTTTTTTCAATAGTTTTATTCATTTCAAGGCAACAGCACGATACAGCAGAAGACACGGGGAAGCGCACGGAATGAGGCGTTCATTATCATAATAAATAATATTAATAATGAAGTAGGACAACCCAAAATAGGCGATAAGGAAACCAAGACCCGGGAAGCTCTGGCGTCGTGTTTAGTTCATATCTATTTTTTGAATTTTTTGGTTGTTTTATTTTGATTTTTTTTCACCTCTCCTGGCTATTTATTTGTTTGGTATGAATAGATGTTTTAAATAATATGAACCGGACCTTCAAGAGCCTTAAATAGTTTGTTTCTTGGGTAATTTATTATTGTTGTGTGAACTGTTCTCACGGGGGAGAGGTGTGAGGCCAAGCGACCTGCGCAGAGTCTATTTTTCTACACGTCCCTCCGCCCGCCGCCACCCTGCTCTCCCAGCTCTGCTTCTCAGCGCGTGTGAACTCAGCTTCGTGGGGTCCACAAAGTCTATTTTTATACACAGAATTGTAAATTAGATTTTTTGAGAGATCAATACCTAACTGAATTACATTTCATTTTTGAAATAGTGTAAAATATGAAAATATATTATTTTTAATTTAACTAATTTCCAAGGTCACAGTCATCCCTTCTGGTATCCTCATGGATGAATATTTGCTTTGGCATCACCATTTTGGCCACATTCTTGGAAGTCAAGACTGTTACACACTCACACATACACTTTTCTTTTCTTTTCTTTTTGACAAACTGGACGATCTGTTATTTTTAACTTCAAAGAATTTATTAGAAAATGATATTTTTTAAAAGTGCACATAGCAATGAGCCCATATGGATGGAGCCTGTAGTTTGTACAGAGATAAACAAGGATGTTTTTTGCATTAATAAATTGAGAATAACTGCTGTAAATTTACTAAACTGTATTTTTGAACGTTTTGTAATAGTTTTGTAGAAATAAAGCGTGCCGCGCACAGCCTGGTTAGCATGTCATCCCTGAGAGCCTGCCAGCCCCTGCTCCCGCGGCCCCAGTTCCCGACCGTGTATAGATGAAACAGTGAATGCGCCGCGCCCCGCGTGGGTTTCGGCCTGGGGAACCTCAGCTCTGTTTGTGTCATGGTGTGATCTACACTCCCAGGTTGGGTGCTGTGCTGGGTGCTGTGCTGGGTACTGTTCAGCGCTCTGCCAGCCGTGGGCCCAGGGGCGGCCCAGGCTCCCTGGAGCTGTGGGGAGGCCTGTTTGCTGGGCTCGGCTGCCCCGCTGGATGCTGTGTTCCCTGGCCCTGCAGGGAGGTCCCTGGCTGCTTCCCAAAGTCCTGGGGGCCCTTTAAGGAGGGTTCCCGAGGAGAGGGCAGGGTGTTGATCTTGGTGGAACCTCCCACAGCCTGTCCTCAAGTTCCCCCAAATCCAGGGCAGGCCCCTTGCAGAGTGCGCATCCTGGCCTCTCCGGACACAGCCTCAGGCCTCAGGTGCCGGGGTCTCTATGGCCAATGTGTCTGCCTGGAGCGGCAGCTGGGCATGGACTGGCGCCCCTCGGGCACAGCTCCTCTTTGGTGGCACTGGAGCTTGCCCATGGCCGGGCTGCTAGGCAAGGGGTGGAGGGTCCTGATTTCTCTGGAAAAGGTTTCTTTCTGGTCGTGTGGGCTGTTAGCAGGTTCAGAGTTTACCGCCCTGGTGGCATCGGTGGTTTCCGGTCTGTTGGCTGTTTAAGTCTGTAAGTAAACGGGAAGCTGTGGGCTCACCAGCATGTGTGGCTGCGGTGACCCACCTGAGTAACCAGCGGTGAAGGCAGAGTCCTGGCCACCAGCGCTGGGAGTGCCCGCAGCGCCCCCTGCAGCCGGGCGTGCGGCCGTGTCTCACTTCCTTACCCCGGCCCGTCCGCCTCAGCATTTCTCCAGCTTTACATGGAGAACTTTTTCATGGACAACTAGCGGAAGCTGCCCCCAGAGAAGGCAGCCCCAGGGCACCAGGGAGGCAGCCGCTCCTGCTGCTGGCCGCTCGCGCCCCGCTTCTCCATCAGGGCTAACGGGGCCACGAGTCTTCAAAGTGCACGCGTGGTGTCGCCCCATCGGCCTGGGACTCAGCGCCTCTCCTCCTGTCAGACAC